GGGGGGCAGAGGGCCTGCAGGGAGCTTTGGAGGGGATGCGGGGGGCAAAGGGCCTGCAGGAAGACAGAGACTGAGCTGAGGCAGAGTGTGCATAGACAGCACCCCATGTCCATGGGCTCCAGCTGCATAGTGAAAAGATCCCCCCCACGTTGGTGTCTATGCTGAATATGTCCATCATTCCCTGAAAGATACTGTGCAACTATTATTTGTATTTTTAAATTTTTTTTGAGTTGGAGTCTTGCTCTGTCACCTAGACTGGAGTGCGGTGACCCAATCTCAGTTCACTGCAACCTCCGCCTCCCGGGTTCCAGCGATGCTCCTGCCTCAGCCTCCTGAGTAGCTGGAAGTGCAGGGGTGCACCACCACGCCCAGCTAATTTTTGTCTTTTTAGTAGAGACGGGGTTTCACCGTGTTGGCCAGGCAGGTCTCAAACTCCTGACCTCCAGTGATCCACCCTCCTTGGCCTCGAAAGTGCTGGAATTACGGGCGTGCGCCGCCGTGCCTGGCCCACACAACTATTTACATAGCATTTACATTGGATGAGGTATCATAGTAAATAGAGATGATTTCAAGTCCAGTAAGTCCTCATTTAATGTTGTGGATAGGTTCTTGGAAACTGTGACTTTAAGTGAAACGATGTATGGCAGGTCATCGAATATGTCGCCTTGTTCAATGAGGATTCATTATGAGATTAATGAGGGGAGACATGGCTTTGTTACGTATCTTGTGCTTAAAGCCAAGGTGCCCAAGAACCTAATGACGGTGTTAAGCAGGGACTCACTACCTATGGGAGGATATGCGTGGGTTATGTGCCAATACAATGCCATTTTAAATCAGACCTTGGGCATCCTTGGATTGTGATATCCCGGGGAGGTCCCAGAACCAGTTCCCAGGGATAGGGAGGACTGTGTGCACCCCACCTTTCCCCGGTGGCCTGATGTGGACCCCCTTCCTGCCGTTCTGTCACTCTGGCTAGCTCCAGGATTCTGTTTTGTAAAATTCCATTTTGCCCTAAGTTGGTGGCACCTGGAGTCCAGGGGCAGCATCGTCAAACAAGAATTTGCCCTGGGAAACTTGCTGGCTAAATTGTGTCTTGTAAGGCCCAAGTCACACTGCATGGAGGATGTCCTGAGGCCCGAGCACAGTCCCCTGGGCCACCCCCAACACTCAGGGGCTTGCTGAGAACGCAGCGGGGGAAGGTGGAGGCTAACATTTCTCTGACTGAGGGGCACGAGGTCAGTCTCCTTTAATCCCGCTGTCCCTGTGAGAAGCAAGCCTCGCGACTCCAGGTGGGGACCCAGGTGCTCAGCCTTGGCTGCCTAAGACTCTAACTCTTTCGCAAATGTAAGCCCTTGTCAAGGAGAAGGTGATGCCCTTGGGTCCCTGGATGGGGAGGCTGACACTGCTGGGAGTCCTTTCCTGGGGTCTGGGGAGCAGGCGAGGCAGGGCCCTCCACCACCTCCCAGTGCCAGACTCCTTCCCCACACCAGCCCAGGCATGACCCATCGCCTCAGACCTGCGTCCTGGTGGGCTCTCGGAGAGAAACATGCTGGCATTCTGCCAACCCCACCCCTACGCGGTGAAGGGCATGGTGCTGATGGGGGAATGACAGGCCCCTGCCTCCTCCCAATAGCCGCAGCCAGCACAGGGGAGGGGAAGACGGGTGGTTCCCTGTCCCCTCCTTTTGGGGGTGTCCCTGTGAGCTTCCCCATGTGGCCCAGAACATGGCTTGGGGTATTTCTTGCCCAGCATGGGGTAGAAAGGACTGGCTGACTCCCTGGGGGTGCCTCTGAGGCCCACTGCTGCATAGGTGTGGGGTCGGGAAGCTGCAGGTGCGGAGGGGCATGGGCACGAGGGCCAGGCTGGGGAGGGTGGGGTCCTGGCTGGGCCAGGCCCGCCCTGAGTCCCCCAGCAGGTGCTCCATGCTGGCTTACACCCTCTGCCTCTCTCTCTTCCTTCCTGGCCTCGACCCTGGAGGCAGCAGACCGTGCCAGGCACCAGGTGGGACAAGCCGCGCTGGTCTCAGAGATGGCAAGGGAAGGCCAGGGTCAGGCCAGCCCCTGCTCCGAGCTGTCCGGAGGTGTCTTCCTTGGACCACACGCCCCTTCCCAGGCAGAAGCCACCATCCTGGCGCTCTAGTCTCTTCCCCTGGTCCCCTGTTTCCTCCGACTGCACCTTCCTGCTTTCCTGGGCCGGCCCACAGCTTCCCGGGGATGAAGGGCCGTGTTCTATCCTGCCCCAGCAGCCCCAGGTCCTCCCAGCTCCATAAGCCTGTTTCTGCTCTCTGGGTTGTTGGTGGCTGCTCCGGTGGTGTGCGGAAGGGGAGGAGGACAGGAAGGGGCCCCACTTGGGAACGCACCCCACCCCTCTCTGTGCCCTGCAGGCTCCTCTGTGCAACTGCACCGCCACAGCCCATTTCATCTGGAGGGGAGGCCCCATGAGGGCAAGAGGGGCAGGAGCCATGTTGTCTGACCATGGCACCTCTGGTACCTGACACGGTGCTGTGCACACACGTGGGAAACCGCTGGCGTTCACTGAATGAATGAACGGTGCTGTCTGTGCCAGGCACCCCACCCGGTGCTGGGGGCACTATCTGTGCAAGGTGGTCCATATCGGGGAACAGGAGTGTGTGGGGCACGCAGTGATGGCGGGAGTGCATCCTTGCCAAGGATGGTCAGTTTTATTCTTTTATTTTTTTGTGACAGAGTCTCACTCCATTACCCAGGCTGGAGTGCAATGTAGCGACCTCGGCTCACTGCAACCTCTGCCTCCCAGGCTCAAGCGATTCTCCTGCCTCAGCCTCCTGAATAGCCGGGATTACAGGCGCCTGCCACCACGCCCAGCTAATTTTTGTACTTTTAGTAGAGATGGGGTTTCACCATGTTGGCCAGGGTGGTCTCAAACTCCTGACCACAAGAGATCTGCCCGCCTTGGCCTCCTGAAGTGCTGAGATTACAGGTGTGAGCCACCACTCCTGGCCAGGACTGGTCAGTTTTAAAATGTAGACGTTACTGGGCCTGTCCCCACATGTGTCACACCCCAGCACAGACACCACACACCACACAGTCCTGGGGAAGGAAATGAAAGCAGAGGTGGGCTCTGTGGGCACTTTGGTGTAGCCCAGAGTGAAGGGGGCGCTTCTCCGGGAGGGCTTGCTGGGTGGTCAGGCTGGGGAGCTCTTCTGTCCAGAGCCCCAGGGGGCTTCCCAGCAGCCCCTGATCCCCGCTCCCTGACCTCCAGGTGGGTCCTGTATGAGGAACCCAACTACCACAGCCACATGTATGTGGTGGATGGGGCGACTTCGCAGCCTCTGCGACTGGGAGGCCCACAGCACCTGAGTACAGTCACTCCACAGGGTGGTCAATTTCTTCTAGCCAAGCCCCCCAACAGGATGGCCGGGCGCAGCCCTGGGACAGAGGCAGCCCCTTGCAGTCCCACCCAGACCTTGGGACCTTGGCCAATAAAAGTCCTGAAAGCCAGTGGTGGCCTCTGAGCGCTCTCCAGCTGTGGTTGTCCCAGGCCTGGGAGGAGCCAGACGATCTGATCCAATCTGGGGCACTTTCCCAGACTCCTGGGGACCCCCTGGGCCAGGGAGGGGAGAGTGGTGGGGAGAGGTGGTGCGAAGCGATGGGGAGGGGAGAGGGCTGGGACTCTGGCTGGTGCAGGACTCCCCAGGCTCACTCGGAGCTCTGCCTCTGTGTGACTCAGCACGGCAAGGCTGCCAGGCCATGTGGCCAAAGGCCCGACCCAGGTCCCTGTGTTGACCTCTGGGTTTTATCCTCACAGCTAATCTTGGCCTCGGAGTTTCTAAGGGAGGCCCCTCTCGAAGGATGGTTTGGACCCAGGTCGGACCCCTCTTCTGCAAGAGAGACAAAAATGAGGGGTGGTGAGTGTTGGGAGGGGGCTTGCTTGAATAGGTGAGCTCTGTGGGAATAGAGGGGCTTTCGGGGTGCAAGGGGCATGGGACATGTCTGCTGCAGCCCCTGGAACAGTGGGGCCGGCAGATCCCGGAGGCCTTGGCTTGGGTCTTCGCCTCGTGCTTTCACCCAGCGCCCACCTGTGGAATTCCTCCAGGCCTGGGCCCTCTCCAGGAACCTCGGATCCAGGACCCCTGTGTTATCCTCAGTAGCCCATCCCAGAAGGTCACAGGTGGAGGTGCCTGGGTTTCTGAAGAGAACGCAGGGGCCCTGGATCTGAGGTCCCTGAGCATGGGGCTCCTGGACATGGAAACCCCAAAGATAGATGTCTACACGGCCTATGTCCAGACTGAAGCCTGGCTGGATGAGCGATCAGTGGGGGGCCAGGTACGTGGGTTGAATCACCCATGCACCCACAGCATTCTGATCTGGCTCATGGTCCAGCCTCTAACCCCCTACCACGATCCCAGAGGGCCCCCCACCAGCCGGCTCCCAGCTGGCCTCGCAGTTCCCAGGTCCTCCTCACCGCACATCTGGCTCTGGTTTTCTGTGTAGGCGAAGGAGTCTGGACTGGGGAGCAGCTCCTTCAGGCTGGCTGCCGGGCTCAGAACCCCCAGGGAAAGCCGTAAGCTGCAGGTTGAATTGAGACATCTCAGTTGAACTGAGACACGCCGTGGGTCACGATCTGAGATGA